AATTTGTGAGGGTACTCTCAGGGGTTGCGAATCTTGCCTCTGATTATGACTGCTGAAATTGTTGCAGTTTTCGAAATATGACGTTTCTTAGGATTTTTTCAAAATTTTTCAAATAACTTAGATATAAAAAAAATTTCAGAAAATTCGAAGTTCACATCTTTAAAGTGAGGCTCTGTCAGGACACTCTCAGGAGTTGCGATCTGTGCCTCCAATTCTGACTACAGAAAATCTTGTAGTTTTTCAAATTTTACGGTTTTGTGATTTTTTCAAAAAATTTTAGAAAACTAACCTTAATTTTTTTCTTAAAAATTGGAAGTTCCCAAGGGTTGCGAAAAATTGGAGGTCTTAAAAATTGCAGTATTCTCAGGTTCTCAGGGGTTGCGAATCTTGCCTTCAAAAATTGTGCGCAAATCTTGTTATTTTTCCAGATATGACGTTTTGTCTGTTTTTTTTTATTTAACTTTTTTTTTTAAAACTTAGGTTTGAAGTTTTTTAAAATTTGAATTTCCCAACGCTGTAGTTGGGTACTGTTAGAGTATTCTCAGGAGTTGCAAATCTTGCGGCCAAATGCGACTGCTTAAATGCTTTTAGTTTCCGAGATTTGGAATTTGTAGTTCATTTTAAATTTTTTCAAAGAACGTCACAAAATTTCATGGTTTTTCAAAATTTTAATTAAAAAACGTGTAATTAGGAACCCTGTAATTCGATGCTGTTAGAGTATACTCGAAGGATGCAGATCTAATTTCTAATATAAGTGGCTTTTTTGAGTTTTTAAAATTTCGAATCACCGGAGGTGCGTTACACGCTAGTTAACTTGAAATTCATTTGCAAATTGAAAGCAAAGTACGCTCGCTAACAACTGAAGTTTCAATGGCGTAAAAAAACACGTACACAACTTTTATAGTGCCGATTTGAATTTTATAATGTCTTGCAGATTACGTTTATCAGCAAAGGGCCAAACAACAAAGATCCTTGAAATTCAACGCGTTTTAGAGATATATGTTTTTTGATGAATTTGATTTTCTTTGTAGGCATATTTTTGTGTTTCCGTTCATTGAAACTCTATCAAAAATGTAAACCTTCGTTTCGTTGTGCGGAAGTAAAACCGGTTTGATTTTTTCGATTTTCTATTTAGTCTATCTATTATATATTTAAATGCGTTCTTCACTATATCGCCATGTTTAAGTTTTTCAATGTATGGTTTTTGCAGGCTTAACAAAAAGGATTTTTGCACGTTTAAACTGTATCGTATATTGCAATGATTAAGATTCTTTTTCGATTTTCCAAGTGAAATTCAGTGTTTATTTCACCAAGCTTGAAGTTAGCAACCGAATAGTGCGATGCTGTCAGGGTTTTCCTAGGTGTTGCGATTCTGGCCTCCATATATGAATCAACAAATCCTTTTATTTGACGAGAAAAGGCAATTCAATTTAATTTTTTTAAAAAAGTTATAAGTTCTTAACCTGAAGTTGGGTGCTGTCAGGGTACTCTTAGGAGCTGCGAATCTTGCCTCCAAATATGACTGCTCAAATCCTTGTAGTTTTCGAGACACGACGTTTTTTATGATTTTTTCAAAATTTTCAAAAAAAAATAAGATTTTAAAAAATTCCAAAATTTGAAGATCTCAATACTATTGTTGGAAACTGTGATGGTAATCTCAGGATTTGCAAATCTTGCCTCTGCGTATGACTGCTGAAATCCTTGTAGTTTTCGAGATATGCCTTTTTTTATGGTTTTTCAAAATTTTTCAAAGAATTTAGTATAAAAATTTTTCAAACTTGTCGTTCCCATCTCTAAAGTAGTGCTCTGTCAGGGTACTCTCAGGAGTTGCGATTTTTTCTCCAAATATGATTGCTCAAATCCTTGTAATTTTCGAGATCTGACGTTTTTCAAAAGTTTTCAAAAAACTTAGGTTTGAACAAATTCCAAAACTTTGAAGAGCTAAATCCTGTCGATGGAATTTGTGAGGGTACTCTCAGGGGTTGCGAATCTTGCCTCTGATTATGACTGCTGAAATTGTTGCAGTTTTCGAAATATGACGTTTCTTAGGATTTTTTCAAAATTTTTCAAATAACTTAGATATAAAAAAAATTTCAGAAAATTCGAAGTTCACATCTTTAAAGTGAGGCTCTGTCAGGACACTCTCAGGAGTTGCGATCTTTGCCTCCAATTCTGACTACAGAAAATCTTGTAGTTTTTCAAATTTTACGGTTTTGTGATTTTTTCAAAAAATTTTAGAAAACTAACCTTAATTTTTTTCTTAAAAATTGGAAGTTCCCAAGGGTTGCGAAAAATTGGAGGTCTTAAAAATTGCAGTATTCTCAGGTTCTCAGGGGTTGCGAATCTTGCCTTCAAAAATTGTGCGCAAATCTTGTTATTTTTCCAGATATGACGTTTTGTCTGTTTTTTTATTTAACTTTTTTTTTTAAAACTTAGGTTTGAAGTTTTTTAAAATTTGAATTTCCCAACGCTGTAGTTGGGTACTGTTAGAGTATTCTCAGGAGTTGCAAATCTTGCGGCCAAATGCGACTGCTTAAATGCTTTTAGTTTCCGAGATTTGGAATTTGTAGTTCATTTTAAATTTTTTCAAAGAACGTCACAAAATTTCATGGTTTTTCAAAATTTTAATTAAAAAACGTGTAATTAGGAACCCTGTAATTGGATGCTGTTAGAGTATACTCGAAGGATGCAGATCTAATTTCTAATATAAGTGGCTTTTTTGAGTTTTTAAAATTTCGAATCACCGGAGGTGCGTTACACGCTAGTTAACTTGAAATTCATTTGCAAATTGAAAGCAAAGTACGCTCGCTAACAACTGAAGTTTCAATGGCGTAAAAAAACACGTACACAACTTTTATAGTGCCGATTTGAATTTTATAATGTCTTGCAGATTACGTTTATCAGCAAAGGGCCAAACAACAAAGATCCTTGAAATTCAACGCGTTTTAGAGATATATGTTTTTTGATGAATTTGATTTTCTTTGTAGGCATATTTTTGTGTTTCCGTTCATTGAAACTCTATCAAAAATGTAAACCTTCGTTTCGTTGTGCGGAAGTAACACTGGTTTGATTTTTTCGATTTTCTATTTAGTCTATCTATTATATATTTAAATGCGTTCTTCACTATATCGCCATGTTTAAGTTTTTCAATGTATGGTTTTTGCAGGCTTAACAAAAAGGATTTTTGCACGTTTAAACTATATCGTATATTGCAATGATTAAGATTCTTTTTCGATTTTCCAAGTGAAATTCAGTGTTTATTTCACCAAGCTTGAAGTTAGCAACCGAATAGTGCGATGCTGTCAGGGTTTTCCTAGGTGTTGCGATTCTGGCCTCCATATATGAATCAACAAATCCTTTTATTTGACGAGAAAAGGCAATTCAATTTAATTTTTTTAAAAAAGTTATAAGTTCTTAACCTGAATTTGGGTGCTGTCAGGGTACTCTTAGGAGCTGCGAATCTTGCCTCCAAATATGACTGCTCAAATCCTTGTAGTTTTCGAGACACGACGTTTTTTATGATTTTTTCAAAATTTTCAAAAAAAAATAAGATTTTAAAAAATTCCAAAATTTGAAGATCTCAATACTATTGTTGGAAACTGTGATGGTAATCTCAGGATTTGCAAATCTTGCCTCTGCGTATGACTGCTGAAATCGTTGTAGTTTTCGAGATATGCCTTTTTTTATGGTTTTTCAAAATTTTTCAAAGAATTTAGTATAAAAATTTTTCAAACTTGTCGTTCCCATCTCTAAAGTAGTGCTCTGTCAGGGTACTCTCAGGAGTTGCGATTTTTTCTCCAAATATGATTGCTCAAATCCTTGTAATTTTCGAGATCTGACGTTTTTCAAAAGTTTTCAAAAAACTTAGGTTTGAACAAATTCCAAAACTTTGAAGAGCTAAATCCTGTCGATGGAATTTGTGAGGGTACTCTCAGGGGTTGCGAATCTTGCCTCTGATTATGACTGCTGAAATTGTTGCAGTTTTCGAAATATGACGTTTCTTAGGATTTTTTCAAAATTTTTCAAATAACTTAGATATAAAAAAAATTTCAGAAAATTCGAAGTTCACATCTTTAAAGTGAGGCTCTGTCAGGACACTCTCAGGAGTTGCGATCTTTGCCTCCAATTCTGACTACAGAAAATCTTGTAGTTTTTCAAATTTTACGGTTTTGTGATTTTTTCAAAAAATTTTAGAAAACTAACCTTAATTTTTTTCTTAAAAATTGGAAGTTCCCAAGGGTTGCGAAAAATTGGAGGTCTTAAAAATTGCAGTATTCTCAGGTTCTCAGGGGTTGCGAATCTTGCCTTCAAAAATTGTGCGCAAATCTTGTTATTTTTCCAGATATGACGTTTTGTCTGTTTTTTTATTTAACTTTTTTTTTTAAAACTTAGGTTTGAAGTTTTTTAAAATTTGAATTTCCCAACGCTGTAGTTGGGTACTGTTAGAGTATTCTCAGGAGTTGCAAATCTTGCGGCCAAATGCGACTGCTTAAATGCTTTTAGTTTCCGAGATTTGGAATTTGTAGTTCATTTTAAATTTTTTCAAAGAACGTCACAAAATTTCATGGTTTTTCAAAATTTTAATTAAAAAACGTGTAATTAGGAACCCTGTAATTGGTCAAAATTTTTCAGTAAAGTCTAAAAACGCTTTTTTGGCCTGTTTTTTTTTCAAAGTTTTGCCTGTGGTGCAGAAAATTTGGCCAAAACAGAGTCTTTTTACCGCTTTGGGAGAGCTCGCAAAATCAATATGGTCGACCTAAAAAAAGGTCGAGAAAATTTTTGAAAATCCGCCCCCCTCGAGCAAATTCTAGATCCGCCCCTGAGTACGCTTTTTGCATTTCCTTTTTTTCTGCCACCCCACACTCCCCCCCCCCCCCCAGTTGGCGCTCTTTGATAGATATTTAAATGTTTTTAGCTTCAATTTAGCATTTTTTTTTGTTATAAAAAGCTGAAAACTTTTTGTAATCTATAAAAACCTCACTTGATTTTTTAATGTACAGTGAGGCGTATCAACGACTTTCTTGGGACTTGTTGAAAAAGAGCATCCATGGGCTGGTGAACAAAGTGAATGCGGCCAACATCACACAAGTGGTGCAGCAACTTTTCTCCGAGAACCTCATCCGCGGAAGGTATGCTATGATTTATATTAAATTTATTAATAACATCTCTGTGAAAAAATGATTGGAAAAAAAAATTAAACGTCAAACGATTTGGTTTGAAAACTTTTAACTTTTTAATCTTTATTTCTAAAACGAAACTTTGAAATACATTCAGGGCGGATTTAGGGGAGGGGGGATAGTGCGCCTAAAAACACCCGTTTTGTCCTGTTTTTTGGCCAAAACAGAGTCTTTTTAGTGCTGTGGGAGAGCTTGGAAAATCAATTTGGTCGACCTAAAAAGGGTCGACAAAATTTTTGAAAATCCGCCCCCCCCCCCATCGAGAAAATCATAGATCCGCCCCTGACTACTTATCTTATATCGCAGTTCAAAGTTTTTTTATTACACCAAAATCTTTGTGCTTTGAATTTACATTTTTGAAATCTGACTGATAATGTTTTGGGTTCAGTTTAAATCGACTGCACATTGAGTTAGAGGAATTGGTGGTGGTTAGTTTGCTTTTTGCTCATGGAGGGTTGTAAATGTTCTTTACTATATATATATATATATATATAAAAAAAAGAAAGTTAAAGATGCTTCGTTATTCTCCAGTCGTAATTTTCCGTCATGGCTTCAAATTTTTTTTTGTTTGTATTGGTTGAATTGAACTATCTCCCCTGTCTTTATATTGATTTGCTTTGTAATATCCGCTATCTTAGATATGGTAAGGAATAGCGGCCAATGTTTGCAATTATTCTCTGATAAACTTCAAGTCGAAGCGGAGCAGCTAAATGAAAATAGCTGCGGGTTTTCGCAAATCTAGACGAGCAGAGATATCTAATATTTTTTTATCCCCGTTGGGGAATATAGCTAAAGTTGTACTGTACCCATTGTTTATCCTGCGCTCTAGGCATGTCCGTTCTGCAAATGCCCCCCTTCGCAAGGCAAATGCATGCAATGTTTTGGTCTGTCTCTATATTTATTCGATAAACAAATCCCAATCACAGGTGAATATGTTTTATCCCTACCCATTCATATTTGCGAAGCTCTCCTGGCTTTGAAGAAATATCGACTCTATCAAAAATCGATGAAATACCACCCTAAATTTGACATTCTATGTCCCTAAATTTACAGGGATTGTTGTTTTTCACAGTCTTAACGATTCTTAGTCTTGTGATTTTTACTCAAGTGTTGGCGTTTGCTTTGTTTTGAGGGCAATCTTTTACCAGGAATGGATTATATCTGATGTTTTTACTGTTTCGGTACAATTCTGTCACATGTTTCGAGTTGAATTGAAATCCATTGACAGTATTAGCTCATGGTAACCTCCTAAGCTTAAGCAACAGACCGCCTTGGAATTATATTAATGGAAAGTTTGAACACCACACTTAGGCCTATCAGCAGCTAAGTTGACCAAATGAACAAGAGTGCACTGATTAAGTTAAAATACTACACAGGCAGGGTAACCAAATTGACATTGAAATTTGTGATTCAAAATAACTAATTTTCTCTATCTTACTGTATTTCTAAATGTAATCTTCCATGAAAAGCAGATTTTTTTGTCTTTAAATTGCGGTGTCTTGTCCTTAAATTGCGGGTTCTTGTTTGCGTTATCTTTTCCAATAAATTTGTGCTCTACTCAATAAAACTAAGTGAACTCTAGCACTAGATAAGGTGCATTTGGCTCGTGTCATTGCATGTTACGCGGCTGTAATGGCTTTCCAAAAATGCTTTGAACTAGCGATGAAGTGATATGATTCGAATCTCCCTTGAGGCTATCTGACCAAATTGTCCTTTCTCGTCTCTTTAAACCACTTAAAGCCACCATTCGAATTCAGATCAAATTTGATTAAACTTACAATCCAACGCTGCTGCCTCTCATTGTGTCCTTATTTTCGTCGTTCTGTTATTACAATAATGGCCCTAATTGTGTTTTGAAAGCTTTATTATACTACTAGTTACTTGTGACTGAGTTGAATTTTCCTTCATTGTACCAACAAATAGAGAAGGATTCCTCGTTGGTAAGAAAAGAAATCTTGAAAAAAATTCAGGCAAGTTAGCTTTATTCAGATAAGAGGAAGATTGTTTGTTTTCGGAAAATTTATAGCGATGACGTAGAAATGAATAAATTAACCAAAATTTTCATTATATTCATAAATTATGCTGAGCAGTAACTCTTACCAAAATTTGAGTTGGAAGGTGATGAAGTGAAGTTCTAAGTCTCCGTACATCCTTTGTATGTAAGGTTTGATCATTGTTCCGACTTCCGAAGGCAAGGAGGAACTTTGGATTCAGGTGTTTTCTTCCCACACAAGTCTATCTAGCTCAAACAAACTGTCACATTGCTTCGCGTGATATATCTTACAGTGCTGATTTAAATTAACCCGACAAATTGCGCTAAACTTAATCTAAAACGCATTTTTCTCAAATTGGTTTGAGTTTAGGTGAAAACTCATGAAGACAAAACTTGCTTAGAATTTTGGCAGAATTAAAATGGTGTAATTTTGGGCCCAAAATTTTACCCCAAAAAAGGGTCAGTTTGGCTTTTCTTAGTTAATCAGAAGTTACGCCAAAACTACCCAGTCGATCACAGACATAATTAATAATTAAATCAAAGTTAGCCCCTCACGTAGCCCAACAAACTTTGAGAAAGGTAAATTATCCAAAAAAAAAGTTGCTAACCGTTTAAAAATTGTTTTAAAATAAAACACTGGTGTTTTATATAGTAAAAATGACCTTTTTTGTCGATCAAACAAAAATAAATAAACTTATTCAATGTTTTGGGGAATATGCTCTTCTTAAAGTTTGTTGCGCTATGTGAGGGGCTAACTTTGATATAATTATGTCTGTGATCGACTGGGTTTTTTGGCGTAATTTTGATTAGCTAAGAAAAGCCAAAATTACCAATTTTTGGAGTGAAATTTTGGGCCCGAGTTTCACAAAACAAATACCACCATAATAATTCTGCCAAAATTTTAAGCAAGTTTTAAATTCATGAGTTTTCACTTAAACTCAACCCAATTTGAGAAAAACGCATTTAAAATTTCTGGGTTAACGCGTTTTGTCCGGTTAATTTAAATCAGCACTGTATTACATCCATTTTAGGCTTGATTCAAGCTGCAGTGGAAAATGTCAGCGAAGAATTCTCGGTGTTTCCGTCAAATTTCCTATAAAACCATAAAAAAATGAATAAAACGGTTTGTTCAAAAAAATTAATAAAACTGAATAAAACAGAAAACTTATCAAAATTATAATTGGAGTTTTTGTGCTACTTGGAAAAGTAGCCCTGTAGTCTCTTTTTCTTTTTGATTGTCCTGAATTTGGCAATATCTAGGCCTTTGAGTTTTCTTGAACTTCCTCGATTGTCTCGTCTATGGAAATTGCAAGTCGGCTGCAGTATTTTCATTTCATGTTTTTCTATGTTTATCAGGAGAGCATGGATGTAAGAGCCCACGAACCTTGTCATGACTAATGATGAACGACGAGCAAAATTAATGATTTATAAAGCTCTTCCCTTTGTAAGGAACGGAATAATTGTTTAAGTACCTCCCCTTAAGAAAGAAGATTTGCTGTTTAGCTCTAAAGTGCTGCTCTTGTTTGCATTATAGATTTTATTGTTCCGTCTACGCCACTCGAAGTGAGTAGAAAGAGGTATGGTGTATGGTTTTCATTGCTTCTGAGTAAATTTGCGAAGCTCCACCGCGCACTAAAACGGAGAATTTGAGAAAAAAAAGGCAAAAAAGAACTCACATTTTTTGAACTTCTTACGCTTGCGAACACTGACTTTTTTGGGGCTAAAGTGTCTAACGGAATCAGTGAAATATTGCTACCAATGGATTTGCTCTGTACCTGGTATGCTCATTTTGCGAAAAATCAAATTGAGTTGCCTGCTTTACAATTGAGGGATCTACTTAACAATTCCCCCCCCCCCCATATGGTACCAAATTAAAAATATCTCCCCCTCCCCCCTATAATTTACGTGCTTTTTTGCTAAGTGTAACAGCTGTTGCCAATTAGAACTTTCTCGGTTTCAGAATTTGTTGCATTCTGATTGGCTGAAAGTTCGGCTAATTTTCTAGTAATTTGCTAGCTGAACCTACTTAACAATTCCCCCCTTTTAATATGGGGGGGGGGGGGATTGTTAATTAGGTAATTAGATCCCAATTGAGATAGCAGTACTCTTTCGATTTTTCTTTTTGAAATTTTTCTTGAAAAATTCATATGTCAGTTCACAAGTCGTCTGCAGATTTTTGTCAGCTTTTTCTCGAAGCTTAGACTATTCCGACTATTCTTAATTTTCTGTATCAAGTGAAGATCATTACTTTGAGAATTTTGCAACCGGGTTCAGTTTTTTCTCGTTCAGAAATTTGTCAATAATTTTTGCACATGAACTTATTACACAAATTTCAATTTGCTTCATAATTATTCGAAATCCGACCAACCATTCAGCGCATCTGGTGTTAAGTGTAAAGACTTGGAGTTCGAGTCCGGCCAGGACCTGTTTTTAATGCAAACCGAAAATTTGCAGCTTTTTTCGTACGGTCTTTTGACTGTTTATTTTTGTTGGCTTATTTCCTGTAGCGTGCGCTCATTAATTTCTTGAACCAGGTGCATATTCTCGTAACGGCCTTGCTGATTTTTTTGTTTAATGTATGAAAAACTTGAAATTTTTTCATGGTTAAATTTGATATATCACGTTTTGACTTCAACTTTTTTTTTACGTTTACTTTATTTCCTTTTCTGAGTTCCAGTATCGAACAGCAAAATTGTAAAGGCCACAAAAAGGTGGTCGCCTTCTTTTTTCGAACCATTTTTTCAATTTTCATTTTTCCCAGTGGAATTTACACTATATCTATGAATCAAGTTTTATCAAATTGTTTCTACTTTATCGAAAAACTGGCAACCATGAATTTTTCTTGAAAGTCAGAGCTCTATGAGCTATTTTTTTGAAATTCAAAATTTGAGATTTAAAAAAAAAAATTAAGTCGCTGTTTTTTTCTTAATTGCGTTCATTAAACCTGTCTTAGTTAAGT